ACAGTTACAGCCTCTCAAAGTTGCAAAAAAAGTCAATTTTCTACTGTCATTATTTCCGAAACAGTTGAAGATAGATATATGACATTATACATGAAATATGTCTAGAATTTTCCGCAGAATCCATAAATGTCATAATATACAGAGTGTCCGATTAAAAAAATTATATTTTTTTTGTTTTTTAAACTTTTTGCAACACCCTGTATGAACAATACTATGTTTTCTGAGAACTATTTCTCAAGTACTACAACTTTCCTATTTAAATTTGTGTCGTTCTCCCTGTTCACTTACAAGTGTTTCTATTTTTTTTTTTTTTCTATTTTAAAATATAGTATTTTTAATACCTATTTAGAAGTACCAGTCGTTCTAGTGACAAAACGTATGTCGCTTCTTGACACACAAATAAAATTAGGTTAGGAATTTTCTATTTGTACATGAAATTGACGTATTAGCAATCGACATTCGTTTTTGTTGGTAATTTTTCGTTTCATCTGATTCGTGATTGATAAATAAGGATGAGGTTATTCTAAATGGGTATTACAAATACTATATATAGTAATTGTAACTACAAGGGGTGGCGTCTAAAATTAGGTAGGTATACGTTTTTTAATTTTTGTCTAAAAATTCATTTTACAGATATGAGTGTAAATTATGTCGAAAAAAAAAGTTAGCTTCGATTATGTACGGGTTTTCGGAAATCAAAAGGTGGCAACCCTATACTTGCATGGAAAATTAAATTGATTATTGTTTATTGCAAACTGTAGGAAATCGAAAAAAAATAGTTACTTTTTTTAATTTCACCCAAATATGATTATTCCGGAAGTTATACAAATATTAAGTTTTTTATATATAGATATACTGAGCATGTGCGACGTCACAACTCACAACGTATTATACCAAAGTTAGTCGGAAGGACATTTCAAAGTGTTGTATCTCCGTCAATTTTTGACTAACAAGAAAAAGAAAAAACATGTGTTGACTTATTTTTCATGGACTATCGAAATCGGCAATAAAAAAATTTGATGCAAGGGGCCTATTGAATACAATTCACTTTATATTTACATGCAGAAATGTTTTATTTATTCTAACTGAAAATATTGATCACCTACACAGATTACCTGCAAAGGTAGGTAGGTAGACAGAATTCTCCATTAGAATAACTAAAACAATCCTGCATGTAGATATGAATTAAATTATATTCAATTGTATTGTTTTTTATATATTGCAATCAGAATGAAACATATTATCAAACAAATTAAAAATTTACCAGGTGTTCCATTTAAAAAAATTCAAGTTGTGTGCATAACTGTCAAAATATATTGGTCTTTTGTTTTTTGACCACCCTATCTAAAACTTAGAAAACAACCCTACAGTATGTTTTTTCATTTATTTAAATAACTTCAAAAATAAAGAAATTATGACAGTTTGAAATGTTATCAAAATAGAATGACCACCCTGTACAATGTCATATACCTATCTTCAACTGTTTCGAAAATATTGACAGTTAAAAATTGACTTTTTCCTACAGCCGTGCGGAAAAATGGATTTTCCGCCCTGATATGCGTGCGGAAAATGAGTTTTCCCGCACGGAGCGGTAAAACTTTTACCGCACGCATATCAGCGCGGAAAAAGTTTTTCCGAACGACTGTCAGTGCGGAAAAAATTTTACCGCACTGATCTGTTAAAAAAAAAAAAAAAAATTACATTTTTACGCCTGTAGGAAAAATATTGTACCTAACACTTGCGGAAAATATTTTTCCGCACTTGTTAGGTAAATAGCTATTTTGCATCTTTGACAGACTGTAAAAGCTAAACGGTTGATTTTACAGCGAAACCGTTTTCACATTTCTATCCTAGATTTTCATAAGCTATCATTTGACAGAAACTTTGAATTTAACCGGAGATTAATAATTTAAGCGAAATTTGTAATTATGGATTAAATTCAAAGTTGGTGTCAAATGATAGTTTATGAAAAACTAAGATAAGAATGTATGATCGGTTTTGCTGTAAAATTAACCGTTCAGGTTTTACAGTCTGTCCAAGATGCAAAAAAGTAAATTTTCAACTGTCAATATTTCCGAAACAGTTGTAGATAGGTATATGACATTGTACAGGGTGATCCAGTATAAAGTGAACACCCCCTACCTTTTCGCTGAAAAAATTTTTTTTGGAAAAATCAAGATAGCCATTTAATGTATTTTGTTTCTAGGAATTTGAAGACGTTTTTTGAAATTTAATTAGATTTTTCGTTAAAGCGCTGTGACAACAAAAGTAATTTTTTTAAATGGAATAACCTATATTCAAATCAATTTTTTGAACGCCCCCATTTTCCTCATTTCAAATATTTAGTTTTTTATCTTTATTTTAGTAATTTGCGATATATTCTCACTTCAAAATTCACATAAAAATAGCCGAAAAGGTATCAGAACATAATAACCAGTAATTTTATTAAAGGTAAAATTATTGTCGCGGCTTTGGGTAACCTGCTGACAAAAATCTAGGGCTCGTTGTTCGTTTCGTTTATTCCAAAAATCAAAGTCCAATTAACACAGCAATAATTTATTCCACTTAACAAAACACTCTGACACATCACAGTCGAACTGAAACTTAAACTACAAAGCAATAGCCGCCTTTATATATCCCTAAATCTATTCCTGTAAAATCTAGAACACACAGGATAATCTTATTTTCTCGATTAGTAGAATAATTCGCTAGATTCTTGACAGCCTGGCGGACGCCGTTTTTCTGGCCTGGCGTTAACGATATCGTAACATTATTTAGATTTACCTTGAGAATTTCATACATCTGTCAAAACTGGTATTCCAACAATAAATTGACATGTTTTGATTGTTGATTTGAACCAATCAGATTGTAATTACGCGATAATTTGCACTAGTGCAAATTATCAGATAATTGCATACTAACTGGTGCAAAAACTGGTGTTTTGACATTTTTTGACAAAAAATTTAAATTTTTGATTTATGAAATTCTCTCATTAAATACAACTCGTGCAATGGAAATATATTTATAATTTTCGACAAATTTGCACTCATGCGTTTTTAACTGAAAAAGGCACGAGTGCACGTAGTGCACTCGTGCTCTTTTTCAACTAAAAATGCATTCGGGCAAATTTCCCAAAAATTATCAATAATTTCCATTGCACTATTACTATTGATAACTTTTTGGCTATTTCTATTTGAATCTTAAGTGAGAATATATTCCAAATTACTTAAATAAAGATAAACAAATTATATATATTTGAAATGAGAAAAATAAGGGCGTTTAAGAAATGGATTTAAATATAGGTTATTCCATTTAAAAAAATTACTTTTGTCGTCACAGCGCTTTAACGAAAAATCCAATTAAATTTAAAAAAACATTTTCAAATTCCTAGAAACAAAATACCCTAAATCTCTTTTTTCGAAAAAAATTTTTTAGCGAAAAGGGGGTGTTCACTTTATACTGGATCACCCTGTACATGAAATATATCTAAAATTTTTCGCAGAATCCAGAAATGTCATAATATACAGGGGGTACCATTAAAAAAATTAAAGTTGATAACGGTACAGCTGTTTTCAGAACACCCTGTATAAAAAAATTGACGTGAAAAAATCTCAAGCAAAAAAACAAAATTGACGTGCTCGAGCATTTTTTCGAAAAGTGCCCCATTTATTTATTATCGAATTTATTTCATTTGGCTGATACACACACTGTATAAAGTGTCCCACGAGATTTTTCCTAGGTGATAACTTCGGAAAGCGTCATCAAAAATATTCCACTTTGTAATTTTTTTATTCATTTTATTCAACAAAGCTTATTGAACAAATATGGCATTGCCGATTTTGTAACTTAATTTTCTAACGAAAAATGCCATGATAAACCATAAATTACATTTAAGATTCTAAAGCTGCTGTCACCACTTGACTGAAACTAGAGCGAAAGTCGTGAAATTAGATGACACATGTAGAAGTGCCACAAAAAGTTACCCAGATCCTCAAAATTTCAATTGCATAAGATGAGGCGTTCCGAAGATATTACCTGGGTAAAACCTCGTGGGACGCCCTGTATATAAAATATAGGTCCTACGGGCTACAGGCTTTTATGTGAAAGGTAATTTCTGAGGCTCGAGATCTCAATATTTCTTTTAAATTTAAAAGTTGGAAATTGGCACGAAAAATCAACTTTATACTGATGTGAAAAACTTCATCAATCGATATGTAATGTAAACTACTTTATTTTATGTAAACAAGGGTTTTTGGAAATATAATATTGTGTTATATTTATTCAAATTGAATGATATAGTTTTGCCTTATGAAGGAATTTTCGTGCATGATTCTTCTTATATATGGACCATATGCGAGTCCCGATTCGGGACCTATATCAAGTCCCGACAAAACCGTTGATAATATCATTTATCGACGCTATTCGGGACTGGACTCCGATGCCGAGTCGGGACTCAAGTGACAGCGAAAAAAATATCCTATTTACGTTACGCGAAATTACTGAAATCTAGAATCGAAACCAAGAACATCGAAATCTGGCAACCCGGCCCTGGGGCGCAACTAGGTTCACGTTGGAAAGCGATCAGCGATAGTTTCCTGGGGATGTCGCTAGCGACCGTCGGGTCGCATTGTACTAAGTTCAGTTGTCGCCACATCAGACGTGCAACATCAGCCGTGCATTTTCGGGAGAAGCAATAATTTTCTGTCAATGAGTTGGCATATGGGGCCACCTGTGGCAACACTGATGAAACCTGGTGAAACGATCTGTATATATGACTCTGATCTGTCTATATGACTCTGACTTTCTTTTTTGAATTTGAATAAGGATAAGAATAGAATAGGAGATAATCGTTCTCAATAACTATAGCGTTTGCCTATGATTTATGATTGAGTCCAACTGTAACAAGGGCGGGCGTTAACTCGCAAAACGTTCTCAACTCTAAACCTATAGTTGGGGTTGGGACTGGAATTTGGAAGAGAAAAATAAAACACTGCAGATTTGTTTTTAAATACTATTTTATTTAACGTTTATTTACAAATAATAATTAGTAGGCTTAGAATCAACAATAATAATTTAAAATTTTGTGTCTCTAAAATACACTATTTGGCACATTTCAATTCTTTTGTCTTAAAAAATAAGTTCATTATTGACGTTATCGACACTTTTTGTCTGTCAACTATCATGTCAAAGTATTGCTTGAAAAGGTTTAATTTATGCCTTCTTCAGGAAGATCTGGAAACTAACTAATACTCGATACATGGGAGCTACATGCTACATTGCCATGAAAATGATGAATAATCACAACGCAGTTGTAAGAAAAAGTTCAGATCTGCTTGGAGAAGGTCTAACTGATATTATTAATATTAGCTATGTTGGCAATATAATGTTGAACTGTCAATGTGGTGGAATTTTTTACATGGAAAGACCTTGTGTTGCCAACATATCAATAATGTATTTTTTTTTTTTCAAACAGACTTTATTTATTTTAACAGTTGACAATCAACAAAGTGTCTGAATACCGCCACATTCAAAATACGAAACCTTAAATTATAATATTTGTTCAGACTTAATAAATGTTATTATATTTAAAGTCTAAAAAAAGTACTTTATGTAGTGGAACCCTCTATAAATTAAGAAGAGGGTAATTTTAAAATACTATATTATATTGGAATAAAATTATTATAAAACATAAAACAGCCCCTAGTATAGCACATGATCATAATAAAGACAAATAAGTAGGTACCATTGTGCCAAAAATAATCTGGGACAAAATTATTGTTGTAGAGTAGCTCCTATAGGCTATAACGAAAATTATAATATAATATTTTATAATAAAGAAACTGATGATAACTTCAAAAAAGCTAATAGTCCAGGAGAATACACTACATTCTGCTATCCCAGTTTTTTTTCGGCATATAATACCTAAAAGTTTTGACATTTTCAAGAAAGTTCACTTGTCACCAAACATTATTTTGGCTCTAGTAAGGGCCAAATTATGGACTGACTGGTAAACGTCTGGTTGTTACCTAGCAGGTACTTTCTATGCTGTAGATAATAGAAAGTACCTGCTAGGTAACAACCAGACACTTACCAGTTGGTCCATAATTTGACCCTTACTCGAACAAATAACGATATTAGCGACACATGTCCATTTGAAAACTGCCAAATTCTGACATTAATAAAGAAAAATAAATACAAGTATTTGCATCAACCTTGGAGAAAGTTATTCATAGGCACAACTAGGGGGGTGCTAAGCACACCTAAGCAAAAATTAGCACTCCTATTCGGCATCCCACCATAGCACTACCTAACACTCATATAAAAAATTAGTACAACCAAATTATTTTATTTTTTTTTGCAGTTTTTGTACTTACTTACGCCATCGATGACGTCATAATTTAGAAAAAAGTATTTGTCGTTTATTAATTCATAGAGCACGTTGGCAATTATTACTGTTATGGAACAACATGTTTCAACCGGGGCCGGTATTACAATATTACCCTAAAATCAAGACTTACCCTAAAGTATAGGGTTTTTATGTTATATTTAGGATGACGTCATCGAACAAGGTCAGACAATGTTGTCAATGTCTGTGTTTATTCTATATCTTAAGGTGACATTGAAATACCGGCTCTCAAAAAATCATTAGAGTCCCAAATATATAAATTAATTAACTACGAATTATACAGGGTGTTCCTAAATATCATGTACAAACGACAAAGGATGATTCTTTTTTTTACGACTGAAATCTCAAATATGTTCTAAAAAGTTTACTTATTTAAGCAATTAAAAAAAATTGACCCTCTTACATTTTAATTTTTTTCTGGAAAACTTGCAGAGAGAAAATTTTGAAATTTTTCCAGGAATAAGAGGAAAATGAGGAGCTCATTTTACGAAAATTCAAAATTTTCCAGTAAAAAATCACGCCAGGAAAAATTCTGAAAAATTGACTTTTTCAAGTAAAATTAAGGAAAATTCACCTCTTACATTTTAATTTTTTTCTGCAAAACTGGCAAAGGGAAAATTTTGAAAATTTTCCAGTAATAAAAGGAAAATGAGAAGCTCATTTTACGAAAATTTCAAAATTTTTCAGTAAAAAATCACTCCAGGAAAAATTTTGAAAAACTAACTTTTAAGCAAAATTAAGGAGAATTCATCCCCTTACATTTTAATTTTTTTCTAGAAATCTGGCAGAAGGAAAATTGTGAAATGTTTCCAGAAGAAAAAGAAAAGCGAAAAGCTCATTATAGAAAAATTTCAAAATTTTCCAGTCAAAAATCACTCCACGAAAAATTCTGGGAAATTGACTTTTTTAGGCAAAATTACATCTTACGTTATGATTTTTTTTAGAAACTGGCAGGAAAATTGTGAAAATTTTCCAAAAAAAGAAGAAAATAAAGAACTCATTATAGCAAATTTTGTAATTCTCGAAGATTCGTAATTCTCGTAATTTTTCTTCAGAAATTTTTTAATTTCTGTTATTTCTCAAATAATTCTTATAATTTTTTTATCAATTCCTGTTGTTCTTCAAATTTTCCTAATTTTTTAATTCCCGTAGTTTCTCAGAAAATTTCGTTATTTTTATAATTTCACGTTTTTCCGTATTAATTCTGAGCATTTCTCAAAATTTGTATAATTTCCCGAAAGCCTTTGTAATTTTTGTAAATTTAATTTCTAATTCTCGTAATTCCCGTAACTTTTTCGTAATTCCCGTAATTTTTTATAGTTCTCGTAACTTTGATAGTTTTCGTAATTTTCAATTCAATTTTCAATTGTCGTAATTTTTTAAATTTCTTGGACGTTTTTGGAAATTTTATAATTTCCCAAAGGTCTTTATAATTTTTGTAATTGTAATTCCTGATTCTTGTAATTCTTGTTATTTTCTAACTTTTTGAAAATCATAATAGGTTTTTTCGATTTTTGCAATTCGTTAATAAATTTCCGTGATTTATTTCCAGAATTTTCGTAACTTTTTCAAGTAAAATTAAGGATAATTCATCCTCTCACATTTTAATTTATTTCTGGAAAACTGATAAAGCAAAACTTGTGAAATTTTTCCAGAAGAAAATGAGGAATTCATTATAGGAAAATTTCAAAATTTTCTAGTGAAAAATCACTCCAAGGAAAGTCGATAGGAAAGTTCTGGAAATTGACTTTTTTAAGCAAAATTCATCCTTTCACATTTAATTTTTTTTCTGGAAAACTGGCAAAGCAAAAATTGTGGAATTTTTCCAGAAGAAGAAGAAAAAAGTGGGGAACTCAATGTAAGAAAATTTCAAAAATTTCTAGTGAAAAATTACTCGAGGAAAAATTCTGAAAAATTGAGTTATTAAAGCAAAATTAAAGCAAATTCACCCTTTCACATTTAATAGTTATTTATGATATAAGTGTTAAAAGTACATTTTTAAGGCACGCATGTGAAAGTTTACAGAATGAGCGAAGCGAATTCTGCAATTCACATAAGTGCCTTAAAAATACTTTTAACACAAATATCATACAATATTTTTTCTACAAACGGCAATAAAAAGCAATAACCACTAACAAATTGGATTTTTAAATGAATAATAAATTGGAAGCATCTTTCCTATATAAAATTCTTGAATTTGACATTTGTCAAAAAATCCATACAACCAGCACCTTGTTTTACAGGTAACGAAATGTCTTGTCAGTTTCTTGAAAGTATGTCGTGGTCAGGAATGCTTTTTGCTAAAAGTGCAACAAAATACAGAAGAAAAAGAGAGTTGCATCGATCCTTCGAAAAATATAGATGAGGCGGCCAATCGGGCTACCTCAGTTGTTCAAATTTCACCATTATTATCAATGTAAATAACTGAAAATACAAACTTTTTTTGACGTCCGCTCTCAAAATTTGATGTTTCACTTTTAACACTAGTGCTATAAAGACTTTATGGCACTAGTGCGATAAAGTAACATTTTTAATGCTTCGGGGCGGTGTTAAAAATTGTATTTTTAACATGTTTGTAGAAAAAGTTTTTTTTGGAAAACTGGCAAAGGGAAAATTTTGAATATTTTCCAGGAAAAAGAGAAAAGTGAGGAGAATAATTATAGGGAAATTTCGAAATTTTCCAGTGATAAATCACTCCAGGAAAAATTCAAAGAAAATTGACTTATATAGGCAAAATTAAGGAAAATTCACCTCTTGCATTTTAATTTTTTTCTAGAAAACTGGCAACTGGAAAATTTTGAAACTTTCACAAGAGAAAGAGGAAAGTGAGGAGCTCATTAGAGGAAAATTTCAAAATTTTCCAGTGAAAAATCACTCCAAGAGAAATTTATTTATATATTTTCAGATAACTAAATAAACTCTATTCTAAGTTAAAAAATGTATTACAAAACACTAATTCCGAAGGTGCTCCATGAATTAATCTATGACCTGACTTTTTCTCTAAGTTATGACGTAAGTAAAAACCTGCGTGCCGTGCAACGAACTATATGTTTGTTCGAAATTTCGGACATTAAAAAACCTATTTTTCAGAAAAAAGGCAAATGATGACGTAAGTACAAACCCTCGTGAAACTAACTTTTTTTTACGCGTCACATTTCCTTTCCATCAAACTCCATAAAAAAAAAAAAAAAATGGTGCTGCAGCACCCCTCAAATTTGGAGCCTAGTTGCGCTTATGAAGTTATTGAGTAAATTTCAGACATTTATTGATTTTCCAACCAAATCAAAACCATTTTTTGCTGAAACATACTCTAATAAAAATGTCAAAAAACCTAGAACGGTTAAAAAATGACGATTTCTCATGCTCTGTTGAGGTATAACAATTTTGGTCCATAAACTGTCAGTAAATGTAAATTATAAAGTAATCACAAAAAGGTCGAAGCTGCAATTGAGATTTCAAATTTAAATCACAATTGCAGAGCATGTGAAACCGCCTAACTTCCACTTTTTAGCAGACTGTATTGGTCCTTATGTGATAATTATTTATTGTCAAGAAACATAAGAGTGTTTCCATTTTGTACGTTAATTAGGCGCGGTGAGCATGGAATTTTGTCAGAGATATGGGTCACTTTTTATGACACACAATATGTGGGCAAGTATCAAGTTTTCTTATTATTCACTGTACTGTGTAATTGTTGTTTTTATAAACAAAGTTCAGGAATTGTTAAAGAAATATGATCACTTTTGATGATGTAAAAAAAAGTCATGGTTTCTTATCACTCACTAGTGAGTGCGTTGAGTGCAGCGTCCATTATAGTTATTCAAACCTGCCCACCATAGCCCGAACCCAACTAGTTTGCCCACCATTAACCCCACCCTTATTATCCATTGGCTTACTATTACAACTGTTGATATGGCAAGCTTGTAGTTTAGTTAACCTCAAGGGTTTGACTGGAATCGGTGGTGGAGCATTGGTGGGCCGTTTCACTATAATCGGTTTAGCGGCTTGCGATCGGTGACTATCTGTGAAACTGTCAGATTTGACAACCAGTTTTCCTGTAACCGAATCTTTGACATATTCTTCTGTTAATGACGTTTCTAGAATGCTTTCATAGTAGCTGTCACTTGGTGAGTGGTGGGAAGAGTGTGGTGAGTGGTGAGGGCTGTTTAATTGGAGGTGGGATGAGTTTACTGATTGATGAGATGAGTTTATCGATTGGTGGGAAGTATTGCTATCCCTTTTCAGTCTCAAGTCAAACTCTTTAAGTACTTCAGGGTTCAAGGTCATATCCAACTCAACCCTTTCGCCCATTAAATCTTGTTCATTGTTGGACCCGTTTACTTGATTGGAAGTCACATGACCATTACTGACGAATAACGTTTGCGGATCGACGTAGTCCGGATTGGCCAGTTTCTCACCAGTACTTTTATTCCAGCCTTTGGGTTGGGTTTGGACAGGATGTTTGCGACGCTGCTCTTCGGACAGGATCATGCGCAGACGTTGTAACATGCTAAGACGCAGAGGCGTTTTACGGTAGATTTTGTATTCCGGATGTGGATTGGCTTGGGTATCGTCCAGAAGGCGTGATGACATTTCACTGCAAAAAAAAAAATTCAAAATTGTAAATAGTATTTTTGTGTTTTTGTTCAGTGTTGCCTATCACTTTGTGGTTAGAACGGTAAGACGAAATCTGGAGTGCATAACTGGGTTTGCTACTCAGATAACAAACAGCTATTAAAGTTTACTCTTCCCTCTTAATTTGAATCAACATATTTGATAATTGGAATGCGTCAAATATACGCAATAAACAAAAATTTATTTTGAAGGCTCTGATAGCCACTTTCAGCATTTAATCTAAATTTTTATACAGGGTGTCCTTAACTGAACTGACACATTTTGCAGGAAAATATCTCGAAAACGCGAAAAGATAACAAGATGCGGTTTGTTCTGCTAAAATGAGGATTTTTTAAAGTTTTTTTGCCAAATCCTAAGATTTCTAAAATTTTCAGTCTCTTGTCTCTAATGACTTGAATGAATTTTGTCTCTGGCTTTCTCTAGAGTTAAATTTAAATTACCGCCTCTAGAATGTATTGAAGACATAAATTAAGCTTTAGAATAATAAAATAACAAGCCATTGAAATATGCTCTAAGGTAAAGATTAGTTGTGTTTGTCTCATAATAATAATACGTGCATAAGATAATGAACATAAGATAAGAACAATTAAAGACGCTCATATTGTATAACTCCATAAGTACCATGTAGCAACTAGTATTAGCGGAACATTGCCTATACTAGGTCTGTCTGCAGAAATCACAAACCAATCAGAGCGAATTTTATTGGTTGAGAACAGTCAGAAACAGTAAGAAAACTAGTTTCAACCATATACATGTTTTATCAAGGGGCGGTGAAGTAATGTGTGTTTGGTGATTGTAAAAGTGATAGTCGAAGGAGTTCCATAACTTTTCTTAACTTTCCGAAGCCCTGCTTGGGTGTGAGTATAAGTCAATTTGCTGCTGACCCATCTCATCAAAAACACTGTGTTTTGTGTAATAAGTGTAGCTTGTGGTTGTCTCATTATCAACGTGAGGATTATAAACTTGGAGATGTGAAAAAATTGCATTACATATGCATGTTACATTTTGTGGAAGCCAGGGCCGTCTCTAGCCTTCTCGGGGCCCTAGGCAATTTTAAGTTTGGGGGCCCCTATCCCCATTTTTGAAAATGTCAAAAAGGGCAACAATAATTATTCGGAACAGAATCTATTTATACAGGGTGTCCACTTAGTGCGATATCGGACGATATCTCCTTACAGTGTGATGCAAGAAAAAAAAATTAAATTATAAAGTTGTTTGATACTCTAATATGCATTAGTTAAAAATATTCCGGAGATTAAATTTAAATGAAATTTTTAATCATGGATTAAATTCAAAGTTAGTGTCAAATGATAGTTTATGAAAATCTTAGATAGGAATGTAAAATCGGTTTTTGTCTAAAATTTACCGTTTATAGTTTTTACAGCCGGTCAAAGTTGCAAAAAGTCAATTTTCAACTGCCAATATTTCCAAAACAGTTGAATCTAGGTAAAGGGTATATTACATGAAATCTGGTCAAAATTTTACGTAGAATACAAATATGCAATCATTGCAATCACATAGAGTAAAAATCAAACGAGAAGAAGCCATTGACGTCAGCGCTGACAAAGAAGGCAGATTTCCTTTTCTCTGGGTCCCTCCCATTTAAAGTGAGACAAACGATAACGTGCGTGGCTTCTTCTCGTTTGATTTTTACTCTACAGGGTGTTCCATTTAAAATAAGAAAAGTCTGTCGCATATTCCATAAACGGAGCACCCTGTATATTCAAAAATATTTTTTCTACTGACATTCCATAATACGCTATTAAACGATTAAAATCTGTATCATAATGAACTTCATTATGATACAGATTTTCATTATAATACTGATTTTTAATATTATACAATGTCGACAGATGGCACCACCAGTTAAGATATTAAACATTTTAAACGGTAATTTTGCGTAAAACAACTATTTTGATGACTAGGAAAAAGGCTTCGAATTGTTTAAAAATTATCTAAAGTTTGGGACAAAGAATAATTATTATGGAAATAATGAGTGATAAGGAAGAATTTTTACTTTTTTCATTATCATACATTGTCAATAGATAGCGCCACCAGTTGAAAAATTTTGAATTTTTTATTTTTTGAATGTTGACAGCACTCTATAGTTTTTTCATGGTAATTTAGCGAAAAACAATAATTTTATTAAAAAAAAATACTTCAAATCGTTATTAAAAGTTACTTAAAGTTTGGGATGAGGCATTATTATGGAAATATTGAATGATAACGAAGAATTTTCACTAACACCTCCAGAAATTACATAAAGGGCAACAAATGCAGGTAATAATATACTACCGGACAAGTCCAAGAAAATTTACGAAAAATGATATGAATAATGTATGGATTGGAGAAACACCAAAAACACATCGTCCTTCTCAGGAAATGTTTTGATAGTATATTTTGAAGAATTACAACAAAAAATTAAACCTTCAACTGTATGGACGCATTACTCAATTATAAAATCTCTATTCAAAGTTAAGCATAATATTCACATATCTAAAAATCATAAGTTTTATCAATGGCAGTAGAAAAAATAGTGTATGCAACTCTCATGTAATGGCCATTAATACACTCGAATGTTATATACGAAACTCGCCTGCGGCTCGTTTCGTATCCTACAACATGCTCGTGTATTAATGGCATGATCATTGCATAATATACTATTAATTAATGGATATTAGAGTATCAAACAACTTTGTAATTTAATTTTTTTTTCTTGCATCACCCTGTGATATCGCACTAAGCGGACACCCTCTATATATCAAAAATAACAAAATGAAACACATTTTTTTAGGTACCTACATATACAAACAAATAAGTATCTTTGCTTAACTAAAAAATAATATTTAATACACTTTATTTTTTCCCAGCATAGATTCTGACATTGAAAACTTTGAAACATAAACAATAACGCTTGACCCTGATTGGTCGCAAAATGAGGTGTTTCTGCAGGTTGAAATCAGTTTTACAATAGCGACCAATAAGCGGCATTAGCGGCATTGTTTATGTTTCAAAGTTGACAATGCCAAAATCTCTCTTCTCTTGGGAAAAAAATAAACTGTAGGTATATCGTGCTACAAGAAACAAGTCATAAGTCATATCTTAAAAAGACGTTCACAAAACAAAACAATTTTAAATATTTAATGGCGTTTTTCATTTGTTGACTGAGTGCAGCACTCGCCACTCAGTATAGCAATGGACCTTTCTCATTTTACCTGTGCTGCGCGCGCATCTTGTGGGTGACAGATAATTAAATCGTCAATTTACTGAACACGGTCTGACCCTGACGTATTTAAGCTAACCTCAATAATCAATCAGAATCAATCAATATTGCTGAAAATTATTACAAAAACTGTTTATGATACAATAATGGTTCAAATGAGTTGAATGAGTTCTTGTCAGAATTAGGCGAAAAAGAAGTCAAACCTTTCTTTTCACAAGTTCCCAAGCAATCAAATTGTAAGAAAACAATAGTTACGTGCTCACAACCCGAATGAAGACGATTTAGGTTGGGACAGAGATTTGAGGGTTCGTAAAATAACGATTTTTATATCAAATACAATAATAATGTACCTACAATTAAAGGTTTGCTGCAAACATTTCTGCTGCGGTGGGTTTTCTTTCTAATTAATGTTAATACGTATTTTGTCATATTTACGTTTAAAAATAAACAAAAACAGAAACATAACCGAAATTGCACAATTTGACAAGTGGAACCAATCAAAGTCATTCCACACAGGTATCGCGCGTCATTATATGTGTCTCTTTCTTTATTGCAGAAATCTTAATAAACTATCCTTGTTGTTCATTGCATGAGAAAGGTCCATTAGGTTCCGCAAATAAATAATAGGGACATAAAGCTACTTGAAATAATTCGCCGGTATCGGTATCGGTATCCGTAACGCAAGTAGATACGTTGATAAGCGAAAAGGCTGTTAAAGCGCTCCCTGTTCCGGTAAACGTAAACGCATCTCATAACCTAGAAATTTTTGTCTCAAAACTCTGGCGTTTTTATATCTAAGCTTAAAATTGTTATTTTTTTTGCGATAGAGAAGCACTAAACACACAAGAAACTCAAGAAAGTATAAACTAATAGTTATTTATGATATAAGTGTTAAAAGTACATTTTTAAGGCACGCATGTGAAAGTTTGCAGAATGAGCGAAGCGAATTCTGCAATTCACATAAGTGCCTTAAAAATACTTTTAACACAAATATCATACAATATTTTTTCTACAAACGGCAATAAAAAGCAATAACCACTAACAAATTGGATTTTTAAATGAATAATAAATTGGAAGCATCTTTCCTACATAAAATTCTTCAATTTGACATTTGTCAAAAAATCCATACAACTAGCATCTTGTTTTACAGGTAACGAAATGTCTTGTCAGTTTCTTGAAAGTCTGTCGTGGTCAGATACAGAAGAAACAGAGGGTTGCATCGATCCTTCGAAAAATATAGATGAGGCGGCCAATCGGGCTACCTCAGTTGTTCAAATTTCACCATTAATATCAATGTAAATAACTGAAAATACAAACTTTTTTTGACGTCCGCTCTCAAAATTTGATGTTTCACTTTTAACACTAGTGCTATAAAGACTTTATGGCACTAGTGCGATAAAGTAACATTTTTAATGCTTCGGGGCCGTGTTAAAAATTGCATTTTTAACACGTTTGTAGAAAAAAGTTTTTAATTGATATCTTAAAAGCTGTTCGCTATTAAACATTAGCGCAATGATAACTTTTGTTATGCAGGAGTTCCTCTCTATACAATATCAAAAATTCAGTAAAATTCCACATAGATCACTTTTCCATAAGAAATGTGCGGGGTCCTTTGGAAGTGTCACTTTACCTGTGTCAGTTCCCTCTTCGATTTCCCTCAAACAGGTGGGGAATCCTCATCCTCTAGTCGCAACATATCGGCCCGATTATCCCATTGCCTTTCTACGGGTGAGTCGGGACGATAGGTTGCGACCAGAGGATGAGAATCCGACCCCAGATGACTTATTGGACATAAATGAAATGACATATAGTCCAAAAAATACCATTTTAAAGTCACGTGATTTTTCTCTATCCTTGTTGAATACATCTCAAACAGCGGTGATAGTAGAATTGACAAAAAAATTGGTGTCTAATTATTGTTCATAAAATTCTTACCTGCAGTGGCCTAGCCAGCCTTGCGGGGCGGGAGGGGCAAACATATGAGGGGGCGCATAATTTCATTCTTTTGGAGCAGGGGGGGGGGGTAACAAATAAATGTTTGTATGCTTTTGTACTATTTGCTTATTGGGGGAAAATATTGAAGATGAAAAGCCCGCCGGAGACGAAAAACTTCCCAGGGTGCCACGCCCAAAAAAGTTTATTTTAAGCCTTCAAAAACAATTTTTTTTTGGGGTGCCATTCCGAAAAACATTTATGTATTAAAAGAAGTAATGTGTGGACATAACGTTAACTTAGCAAAATCCTCCCGGACGCCTCCGGACGCCTTGAAAATTAGAAAAAATCCGTGGAAATCCGGAGGGATGATAGCTCCTAGTTTGATATAGTTATTATCCTAACAAGTGCGGAAAATTATACTTTCCCGCACGTGAACTGTCGATGCCCGAACGACGCGAAGCGGAGTTCGGGCAAGCAGTTAAGTGCGGGAAAGTTACTTTCCGCAAGAGTTAGGAAAAAGATTTCTTCTACAAGCACACACTTTACATATTTTTTTTCAAATTTTATTCTAATAACAATTTTCAGTAAATTCTATACAGATGTTCCAGGTATGCCGTGCGGGAAAAAGATGGTTTCCGAATTAAAATGCGTGAAAGTGGACAAAAACGCACGCTTGTAGAAAAAACAAATAAAAATACCTACCTACATTGAAATTCATAATATGTAATTGTTTTTCAATTTTGTTTTTCAGAAATTATTAGTGAAGTGACAGAAAAAATCGGCGGTATACGGTACTTTTATTTTAACCACATCAATTATCAAAACAGAAACTCATGTTACCTTTGGTTGAACTTAACCATTTTGCCAACAATGCTAACTTACGATAGGTAAAGAATAAAGGATGGATAGGTCAATAAAATAAATAAGAAACAGCATAATTTTATAATTTCTTGTTTTTGTGCCAGACGTGTAGAGGCGGGTGAGGCGGTCGCCCCCCCTGCCCCCCTACTGGCTACGCCACTGCTTACCTGAAATAGAATCCGTCACTGTCATCAATTAGTTTGTCAAAGTTATTTTCGAAAATGACACAACGAACAAACACAGCTACTAATTTTGACTATATTAACCTTTTTCCAACTCGAAAAGAAGCAAATAGAAAACGGGTACCCAATTCAAGTTCAGAATGTATTACAAGGGGCAGCAGAAACGGCAAAAGTGCGTCTCGCAACAATTGCAAGTATTAAAATTCCCATCTGATTGGTCAATACTACTTCAGAAATGCGTTTGTAAAATGCTATTGGGAACATATCTTAAATTTAAATAGTAATTAACCACCAGTAGCTTTTTGTAGGTGATATCAACGACATAATCAATGAACATACGTTTTTCTCCGAATGACAGTAAAAGCGGCCTTTTAATGACACTTGACAGGATCAAAAGTTGTATTTTTACTGCCTAGGCAGTAAAAGTGGACTTTTACTGCCTAGGCATTAAAAGTGACAGTGTCACAACGTTCCAGGTAATAATTTCACTCAATTTGGTAGATCAAATTGATGGTGACAATGACAATTGTCAAAATAATTTAATTATTTGGATAATAATAATGAATGAAATAAATATAAAAAAGATGTCCATGTGTGAATTTGAACATTCGGAGAAAAAATTATATGTTTTACATGGCAGAAAAGCAGATTTAATGCCTTGGCTGGTATCCTAGCCTCGGCTATGAAACACCAGCCGCGGCATAAAATCTTGTACTTTTCTGCCTAGTAAAACAAATAACTATTTTTGCCACCAATATCACGTGACTTTAAAATGGCATTTGTTGGACTTTACCATAGCTTTGTCCCAACCTCAATGGTTCCGTTCCAACCCAGCAGAGAACAGGGATCCGTACATTTCACCGTCAGGATTCGGTGTAAAACGTGAAATTTGTGCGTAGAATCCGAGATTCGTATACAGTGTGGTTGCGAAACCGTTCTAGAAACGGTTTTTGAGCGGGTTGGAACAGACCTCATAACATCCATTCATTAAATTTAAAATTTTTGAATTTCTTGAAAATGGATGAATGGTTAATAAGGCACGTTCTAAAGTAAGGCCAACAAGTAACGACAACATTGACAATTAAAGACGGTTCGACTATTTCTCAAGAAACACGACAATTATCGCTTTGTTCCAACAGCAGGGAACCGTACACTGTACCGACACGATTTTACGCAGAGCACAAAATTTATGTGTAGAATCCGAAAATCATATACAGAGTAGTTTGAGAACCGTTCATGGGACGTTTATTGGCTTGTTAGCACAGACCTTATAAAAGCGGAGAATTTCAGCAAAATGCGGAGAATTTTATTGGTCAAGGCTCAAAGTGGAGAATTTAGGTGCGAAGCAGTGTTGCCAATTAGCGTGTAATTACACGATTAGCGTGTAATTACACGATTTGCATGTATTCTGATTGGCTTGCGTGTATTTTTCGAACATAAACAAGAAGCGTGTATTTTGCGTGTAATTTGAAAAATTTGACATTCCGCTTTTTTTTTCTGTTTCAGGCCGGCTTCTCATGAGCGTGTACTTGACATAACTGGCGCAAATGCCGAATACGTAAATTTTGGCGCAACATTCACATGGAGTGGAGAATTTATGCCGCCGCGTATGTCAAAATTATATTTTTTTCCTAAATTTTGAAATATTTCTTTGAATTTTGATTGTACAAATTTGTATTTGTTTTTGCTTTAGTTACAAATAGTTACAAATATGGACAGTAAATCTCCAAAATCAAGAAAACGGAACGGTTGCAACCTTAACCTCTAAAAACGCTGAATTTTTACGCGAAAAGTTGAACTTTGCTCAACTTTTGGCGTATCTGCGGCAGAGTGTCAGCGTATCCAATATGGCGGGATTTTGGCCAATCAGAATTCTGCATTCAGGTACGCTGTCACGCCATAAATGTCAAATTACGCTCATGAGAAGCCGCCCTCACGGTTTCCAATCTAAAGCCACGTCCCCATTTGGACATAAATAGGACTTGCATTCCATTCCATCATCTTTTGTCTGTCAAATCAAGTGACTACCCTTATGGCCAAGGATAATACACACTATTAAGAATTGCTTATCGGCCTCGTTTTTGGTGATCGCGGTCAATTGCCGACGTCATTAACTAAGTCGACAGCTGTTTGCGCCAGCAATCGTAGTTTAGAATTTAAATTTATGATGCAAAATATCTAATCTTGATTAACATAAAACATAATAGGCGAAAATGGAAGATATGAACGAGATATGAAAAAGAGTGTTGTTTTAGAATGGTAACTAATCTAGTAATTGTAGTGAAACTTTAGAATAAAACCAAGTTTGCATGAAGCAAAAGCTCGCGGAATCATAACCTGTGGTGCAAACACCTTAAAAAAAGACGAGAAATGACACGCTGCTTACGTCTCACTGGTGCTTTGGCATGGCAGGGGTCCTTGAGATTTGAACTACATGACGTTATGAGGATAGGCTATCCTGTAGTAGTAGTGTGTAGTATCCGAGGTAGTATCCTTGCAGGAAACTGAGGCCGCCAAAAGTAACCTCTTTTTCACGCTTGATGTTACTTACAGAATAGGTACCAAGATCGTGTGTAAAAATAGTGTAATTCTGAGAACTGGAAGCGTGTAAAAACGTGTAATTTCACCAGCCTATCGTGTAATTTCACAAATTCAGAATGGCAACACTGGTGCGAAGGATTAGCAACACTGGATACCTGATAGATTTTAAATTGCGTGTATATTTTGTGACTATTTGTCCATTTAAATTTTTAATTGTTAATTTTTGTAAGCTGAGTGTATGTTTGGCTAATAGCTTTTTTTTTTTATTCTGTTGACTGAATAGTGAATAGGTAGTTACTTAAATAGTGATATATATATAGAGAACTTTATTGGCGAATATTATTGTTATTATTATTATTATTATTATTATTGTAAACTGCTAATAGCGTAAATAAATTTTTTTGATTTTGAGACGCTCAGAGTTTAATTTTGATGCAAAGGGTTACCAAATACACGATATTAATTTGTTTTACAGAATTCAAGCTTCCAAACTTACTTTTCCCGTTGCGTCTCGTCAAACTCCCCAGCGGTCCTTTTCTTAACGTCTCCCTCCCCTTGTAAGCCAGGATCGTTGAGCTGGAACGAGCGCGGCAACGAGTCAGCTTTGCTCGGAAGCTGAGTCAGAAGTCGGCTCTCGTCGTACCAGATCGGACCCGGTTCGCTCGTCACGTTCCGTCTCGGATGGCGTTGGCTCTGGTTCTGATGCTGATTGTTCGACCCCCTGTTAAACACCTGAAAGTCAGCAGAGAGGGGCGTGATTTGTGGTTAGTCGCTCTGAGGCTCGATGAATTCAGGTTATTTACATTCGAAGGTTTTGTTGTGTACATTTAAGATGGAAATTGTGAGCAGAGGTCAAAATGGAGGAACATGTGATTGAACTCAGAATTTTGAAATCTGATTTGCTCCAGCTACTTTTAGTCGAAGCCATATAGTAGGTAGTTATTTTATCAGTGGATCTGAATCACTGGGACTGATCCTATTAGAATCTTAGAATACCCTGGAGTAATCAAACTTCAGTATAAACTATTCTGAATTGATCCGAGTCACCTAGACTGATTTTATTCGAATCTGAGAATAGGTATTTTGGGTTGGTTTGGTTTGAATCGATCTATGACTATATAAGGTCAAATTATCCATTTTATCTGCATAGTCAAAAGCCCAGAGTATTGTGAATTGGGTTAAAGAGTATCTGGATCACTGGGATCGACCCTACTAGGACCCTAGAATACCTTCAAATCTGAGTGTATTTTTTTTCTGAATTGATCCAAATTTCAAGTCACCTCAACTGATTTTTTTATAAATTGAGAGTACTCTAAATCCGATGTATAAAAAGTTTGAAAGTGCAAGGATTTAAGTTGATCTAGATCTAGATTACTGGGCAACAATGAACATTTAAACTGGAGCCGAAAAGTTTCAGCATACCTATGACTTGAATGTGTATGTGAAAACTTGGGATGAGAATTATTCAGTAACTGAAGCAGTACTATGTAGAGATATAGTGTAGTTAGATCAGTTACAAATGATTGGGCATTTTGAAATGGGTGAAATGATCCAGACAGCTGCACAAGCAATCACAAATGGATGAAAACACAAATTACCTTATGGAACTCCTGATTTTGCATCAGAAGCTCGGAAACAATTTTTTCAATAGTCTTTGGACTAATATCGTCATTTTTCTGATGATCCTGCTCAGGTCGAGTGACATCGAGACTCTCCACAGATTCGGAGGCTAGTTCGCACGTCTCAGAATCTGACAGGTCAGTGTAAAACGTCGAACTACCATTTTCCTTGGTTTTTTTCAATTTGGAGATCTTGGTTGTAACAATTTTGTTGTCGTACTGTTGCGGGATCATCGGTTCAGATTTTCTGCGCCAACTGCCGAACGACGTGAACGTTCGATCTTGGGAAATTGATCTGTCCTTGGAAAAATCTCCTCGTGTCTTTCTCACTCTGGTGCGCTTCTCCAAATAGTGAGGAGTGGTAGAGTTGTGTTTGAGCGGTAACCATTTTTCGGAAGTATCATCTGAAAAATATAGTGAAACATGAATAATAATTATCCAAAAGGCTCATTTTTCATCGAATGCGAAAGCTTTTATATTTTTATAATTTGAGGAATGAACTATACATAAGCGGAACTAGGCTCCAAATTTGAAAGGTGCTGCAGCACTATTTTTTGTTTTTTTTTTATTTTTTTTTATTTATTTTATTTTTTTATTTTTTTTTATTTATTTATTTTTTTTATTTTTTTTTTGAAATTTCGAACAAACTTATAGTTTGTTGCATGGCACGTAGGTTTTTACTTAAGTCATCGATGACGTCATAACTTAGAGGAAAAGTTATGTCATAGATTAATTTATGGAGCAACTTCGGAATTATTGTTTTGTAATACATTTTTTTTACTGACGTTTCATAATACGCCTAAAATCTGTTTTATAATGAACTTCATTATGATACAGATTTTCATTATGATACAGATTTTTCAGCCAATGGAATCGAGTATTTTGAGCATTGAACAATGTTTATATAAAAATAACAGACTTGCTTTGGAATTTTGGATTGTCTCTATTAGTATTTACCAAAAGAAACAACAAAAAATTAATAAATCGGGTGCGGAATTTATGCCCAAATGACGTCTAGATCTTAATTTTTGAAATTGTCAAGTTGTCAATAATTGTCACCAGTTGAGAAGTTCACTATTCCTATAAAATAAATATGTTTTTTGTTTATTAATGCAAGTAGAAAAAATAGTGTATGCAACTCTCATGTAATGGCCATTAATACACTCGCATGTTATATACGAAACTCGCCTGCGGCTCGTTTCGTATCCTACAACATGCTCGTGTATTAATGGCTATCATTACATGATCATTGCATAATATACTATTTTAACTTAGAAGAGAATTTATTCAGTTATCCGAAAATATATAAATAAAATTTCTCCTAGAGTCATTTTTCACTGGAAAATTTTCCCTCTGCTAGTTTTCCAGAAAAAAAAATAAAATGCAAGAGGATGAATTTTCCTTAATTTTGTTTAAATAAGTCAATTTTCCACAATTTTTCCTAAATGATTTTTTAATGAAAAATTTTGAAATTTTGCTTTAATGAAATCCTCACTTTCCTCTTTTTTCTGGAAAACTGGAAAATTTTGAAATTTTTATATAATAAGCTCCCCATTTTCTTCTTTCTCCTAGAAAAATTTCACAAGGTTTGTTTTATTAGTTTTCCAGAAATAAATTGAAATGTGAGAGGATGAATTTCCCTTACTTTTGCTTAAATAAGTCAATTATCCAGAATTTTTCCTGAAGTGATTTTTCACTGGAAAATTTTGAAATTTTGCTTTAATGAGATCCTCATTTTCCTCTTTTTTCTGAAAAATTTTCACAATTATCTTTTTGCCAGTTTTCTAGAAAAAAAATAAAATGTAAGAAAATGAATTTTGCTTAAAAAAGTCAATTTTCCCTATTAAAATAGTGATTTTTCACTCTTCAAATACATAATGTCAGTCAAGGATATTAATTAATTACAATGTATAACTATATAAAACAAAATAAGTAAAATGAAAAAAAATAAATAAATAAATAAATAAATAAATAAATAAAAGAAGCGTCAAACTTCGAAAATCTCTTCCAGTCCATAGTCTTCCCCGATGGTACCCATTACAGACGCTGCGTTGCCACGCTGCACAGCTAAGCTGATGCTCTGAGTGATGAAGCTAAGAGACCGCTGACAAGGGATCTTGGACCAACCTCTTAGCCTCATCGCCCCAAGGACCCAATGTCTCTATGGCGATGGGAACAAAAACAAAGCGATCCTCCAGCTCTTTATATTTGATATGTTTTTTAGATTCAGCAAGTAGAGCAGCTGACCCAAGTGCTTTCGATGTTCTGTCTAGATAGGATTTTGCCAAGGTATAGCTACATGTTGCATCCCAAATCAGTTGCTTTCCCTGTTTCCATGGGATCAAAGTCATTCCATCCGCTCTCTTACCGTCATTTCTACAAATGCCGAGCGGCTCTAAAACCCTTAGTTTTTGCATTTTCGAAAAACTCATAATTTTCGTAATTCACCCGTATCTTTTTCGTAATTTTCCCATAACTTCAAAAATCATAATTTTTTCGTAATTCTCGTAATTTTTTGTACCCATTTTTAATTCTCCTAATTTTTTAAAAAACTTCGTTATTTTTAAAATCCCCCCAAGTTTTGTAATTTTAATAATTTCAAAAATTCGCGATTTTCGTAATTCTTATAATTTTTGTAATTTATGTAATTCTCTTTAATTTTATAATTCCAGTAATTTTTCGTAATTGTTGCAATTTTCCGTAACTTTTCAAAAATTGCGAAAAAATGAGTGTCAAAATCGCAGGAAAGTGACGTTGGAATTACGAAAAATAGAAGTAAAAATTACAGAAAAATGAGGTTGGAAATTATTTAAATCTCGTTGCTCAATTTAACCATAAAATTGAGTAGAATTCAAAGAGAGTGCGCAAAATTATACCCTTTATAAGTTGCACAGCACAACGATAAGACTGACAAAGGACTGGTTTCTGGAATAGCCATCAAACCCTTTTAAATCTGTTGTAAAAAAAAATGTATGAGTTGTAATTATTTTTAACTACACATTCAGGTGTATTAATCTAATTTATCATGAATCCCAGGTTCAAAAATAATAGCAGGAATGAAGTTTCAATGTAGATATTTATTTTAAACACAACAAATCAAAACTGCCTTTTTCAATTGATACTTACAAACTATAAATACTTATATCTAGCCAAAAACCTACTCTAATGTAACAATATCTACCCAAAATAAAGAAAAAATTAAATAACGTAAGCTTATATTTTATAAATTAAATAAATGAGCTAATAACTAGTTGCAGAAATCAATCATTTTGAAACCTGATTGAAATTAAATTTTATGATTGAATTAAAGTAATAAAAGTCTTGATTATATTGGCTCCAACATGAAATAAGAGTGGAAGCAAAGGAAGAAGTAATAAAATATGAAACTGTCTCTAAACTGAGTCAACAAGTCTATCCCTGCCTGAATCTCTTGCTGGTCAATTTATTTAAAGCCTAGACTGCTCTGCCAATCCAATAGTCTTTCCACTACCCTTCCGTTTAGTTATGAAGAAAATGTTTTGAACTGTAAATGTGTGCAGACTTACGATTTGACCTGACTGAAGATGTCGCCACTAGACACTGGAACATACAATGACAAAGCCGACTACAAGCCAACTTGCCACAACTGGGACTTTAAATTGAACTCGTTCTGAGCCCAATTTGATTCTCAAACCTGAGCAAAATCACTCAGAAGAGACTGGAACACTGACTTATACACATTCATGGCCTGAACAGAGGCAGAAGCGACAACAAAAAAGCGAAACTTGACGAAATGCGATGCGACAGTACTGCAAAACTCTCGTCACGTCTGTGTCTACTTCGGCACTGCCCTTGGCTTGCAAGGGAAGGAAGGGAGGTTTTTTTGAGAGGGCGCTGTGTGCGACTCTCTTGAGATTTTTGTGGGAGAGGAATTTTTAAATTCCTGTGTTGCGAAGAGTTTTCGTAACAGAAATGTTGGAATTGCGAAAAAGTTGAGTAAAAATGGCGGAAAAGCAAGGTTATAATCGAGAAAAAATGAGGTTATAAATACGAAAAACAAAAGTAAAGATTATGGAAAAATTAACTTGAAATTGCGGAAATGTGAGGCGAAAATCGCGGAAAAGTGATGATACTTATTGAAAAATGAGGCAAGAATGACGGAAAAGTGAAGCAAAATTCGCGGAAAAATTTGCTGAAATTGCGAAAAAGTGAGTTTGGACGTTGAAATTGCGGAAAAGTGAAGGTGAAATTGCGAAAAAAAATTGTTAAAAACCGTTATTTCTCAACTTAATTTCGTTATTTTTATAATTTTTCCTTAGTTTTTGCAATTTTCGCAAAACTCGTCATTTTCGTAATTCCCATAACCTTTTCGTAATTTCCTTAATTTTTCGTAATTTTCCAAAATTCATCGTAATTTTTCTGTAATTCCCGTAATTTTTGAAAAATTGCTGTTGTTTCTCAGATTTTCGTAATTTTTTAATTTCCGTAACTTCTTAAAATATTCAGCTCCTTATTTCATAATTCCCCCTAAGTTTTTGTTATTTTTAGAAATTCGTAATCCCCGTAATTTAGAATTTTTTTTTTTGTGAATTTTCATTATTTCCGTAATTTCTTAGATAATTCTCCCTATTTCTATAATTCTTCCTTAGTCATTGCAAATCTAGGAAAAGTCGTAATTTTCGTAATTGCCGTAACTTTTTCATAAATCCCGTAACTTTACAAAAATTATCGTAATTTTTTTCGCAATTCCCGTGATTTTTTCTTATTTCTTTCAATTTTTATATTTCCTGTAGTTCCTCAAATTTTCGCAATTTTGTAATTCCCGTAATTTCTCAAAAAACTCCGTTATCTTTATAATTCCCCCCAAGTTTGTTGTGATTCTCAAAACTTGGTAATTCCCGTAATTTTTTTTTTCTTGGAATTTTCGAAAATTTTGAAATGTCCGTCATTTCTCAAAAAAATTCTTCGTTAATTTCATAGTTCCCCCGATTTCCCCTTAGTTTTTGCAATTTTCGGAAAATTCAGGAATCCCGTAACTTTTTGTAATTCTTGTTATTTTCGTAATTTTTTAATTCCCGTAATTTCTCAAAAAACTTCGTTATCTTTATAATTTCCTCCAAGTTTATTGTGATTCTCAAAAATTGGTAATTCCCGTAATTTTTTTTTTCTTGGAATTTTCGAAAATTTTGAAATGTCCGTCATTTCTCAAAAAAATTCTTCGTTAATTTCATAGTTCCCCCGATTTCCCCCTTAGTTTTTGCAATTTTCGGAAAATTCATGAATCCCGTAACTTTTTGTAATTCTTGTTATTTTCGTAATTTTTTGAAAATTGTCACAAGTTTTTTAATTCCCGTGATTTTTTCATATTTTTCATAATTTTTGAATAATTCCTGTAGTTTTCAGATTTCCGTGATTTTTAATTCCTGTAATTTCTCAGAAAACTCCGTTATTTTCATAATTCCGAAATTATGTAATTCTCGTAATTTTCGTATTTTATTTTGGGAATTTTCGAGATTTTGTAATTCCTGTCATTTCTCAGATAATTCTCGTTATTTTCATAATACCCCTTTAGTTTTTACAATTTTCGAAAAGCTCGAAATTTTCGTAACTCCCATTATTTTCGTAATTAATTTTTTAATTTCCGTAATTTCTCATAAAAACTCCGTTAGTTTTATAATTCCCCCTAAGTTTTTGAAATTTTCGAAAGTTGGTAATTTCCGTATTTTTTTTTGGGGGATTTTTGAATTTTTTTAATTCCTGTCATTTCTCAGATAATTCTTGTTATTTCCCCTTATTTTTTTTCAATTTTTGGAAAACCTGGTAATTTTCGTTATTTCCGCAATTTTTCACGCTTTTCCCATCGTGATGTTTTCGTAATTCCAGTAATTATTTGTATTTTCAATTTTCTAATTACCAAAAAAATTCGGAATTTTCTAATTCTCCCTAAGTTATTGTAATTTTCGTAATTTCAAAAACTTGTGATTTCCGTTATTTTGGGAATTACCGGAATTCACGTAATTTTGAAATAACTTTGTAATTCTTTCCTGTAATATTTCGTAATACCCGTAATTTTTGTAATTTTCGTAGTTTTTCGTACCTCAATTCCCGTAAATTTTATAATTTCTCATAATTCCCGTAAATTTTCGTCATTTCCGTCATTTCACTAAGTTCCGTAAATTTTCATAATTCCCATTATTTTTCGTAATTCCCGTAGTTTTCGTAACTTTTCAAAAATTAGTAATATTTAAATAATTGACGTAATTTTGGAGTAACTTCGTTATTCTTTTGCGTAATATTTGGCAATTCCCATAATTTTTGTAATTCCCGCAGTTTTTTGTTATTCCGTGATTCTCGTCATGTCCCGTAATTCTCGTAAATGTTTGCAATTCTCATAATTTTTCATATTTTACGTACTTTAACGTAATTCCCGTAATTTTTCGTAACTTTTCAAAAATTATCGTTATTCTCGTTATTTTGAAATGAGGGAAAATGAGGATGAAATCGCGGAAACTGATGATAAAATCCCAAAAAAAAGAGTCAAAAATCGCAAAAAAAATATGAGTCAAAAATTTCAAAAAAAGTGGGTTTAAACTCGCGGAAAAGTAAGATGAGACTCACGGAAAAATGAGATTAAAGTCACCAAAAGTGAGGATAAAATCGCGGAGAATGAAATAAGAATCGCGGAAAAGTGAGGATAACATCGCACAAAAAAAGTGAGACAAGAATCGCGGAAAAATGAAATAATATTTACAGAAAAGTTGGTTTACAATCGTGAAAAAGTGGATTTAGAATCGCAGTAAGTGATGGTAAGATCGCAAAAAAATGCAAAAAAAAAATTATTCAAAAATCGCAAAAAAAGTGAAGTCAAATTCGCGGAAAAGTGAAGATAAAATCGCGGAAAGTAGGGAAAAAATCGCGGGAAAATGAGGTAAGAATCGCAAAAAAATGATGAAATAGCGGAAAAATAAGTTTGTAATCGCGGAGGAGTGAGGATAAAATCGCAAAAAAGTGAGGCTGAAATCGCAAAAAAGTGAGGCTAAAATCGCAAAAAAAGTAAGGACAAAATCACAAAAAAGAGAGTCAAAAATCGAAAAAAAGAAGAGCCAAAAATCGCAAAAAAGTTGAAGACAAAATTGCAAAAAAGTGGGTGAAAAATTGCAAAAAAAATGAGTCAAAAATTTCAAAAAAAGTTAGTGTAAATTCGTGAAAAAGTGAGACAAGAATCGCGAAAAAGTGAAGTATTTGCGGAAAAGTGAATTTAGAATCGCAGAGAAGTGATAGTAAAATCTAAAATTTCTAAATTATGACGTCATCGATGACGTAAGTAAGTACAAAAAGTACAAAGAAAATAAATAATTTGGTTGCACTGATTTTTTATATTAGTTTTAGGTAGTGCCACTGTAGGTAGTGCTATGGTGGGATGCCGAATGGGAGTGCTAATTTTTGCTTTAAGCATACCCCCCTAGTTGCGCCTATGGAACTATAGTAGTAGAATATTAGTCGTAAAATTCTTACCAGTTTCAGTAACGTCCTGTCCTAATTGCATGACCAATTGACGTGCGTGGTTCGGAATGACAGCGCTGTAATTTTCCAGGATGGCTCTCTTGATTTGCATAGTCCACTCCCTTTTGTAGTGCACAGATCTGGCCCTGAGAGTGCATTGTAGGCGAGGGTTGTCGAACGGTAATACTTGAAAGGATAGGACATCACCACGGACTTGTTCTACTAGCATCAAGTTGGAACACTATATACACAAAATAATCCGAATATAGTTCAAATTGTGTTTAAGAGAAAAGGGTTCTTACCTCAATATGGGTTTTATAGGCCAAAGCGCCTTCAGTCCTACTTTTGGCCAACAGCAAAACCTTTTCAAAAAGAAAAACGTGTCTTCGTCCCTTGGCTCCTTGTACCCTGAAAGTTCCTTCCACAATAAGTTCGCCCAGTGTGGTTAGATCTGCTCCGGTCCAACCGTAAAGCTGAGATTGAATTTCCTGCACTCTGACAGAGTGTTCGTGCTTCCGTTTCATGTTGTTGATGTCCGAAGCTACTGCGGTCATTGTTGCTAGCGCTAAATCGACAGTGGGTTTGTGTTGAGGCTCGCATTGCTTCGATAGTCTCTGTGAAAAATATAGAAAATTTAGTGCCGTCTCCAAGGATGAAGATTTGAAAAATATTAGTCGAGCTATGCGAGTCGATTCAGGTGATAGCAAAAATGAATTGTCTTAAGCCCACAAAAGGATTTCGTTTTAGATGTTTTTTCATTGAAATATGACTCAAAGATGCTCTTGTATAGGATTTTCACGCTATATTTAGGATGACGTCACATTTAGTAAATTTCTGCTGCAAATCTGACAAAACTAAAAGTACTTCCTAGCGCATTTAAAGTAGGGGAATTTCAGATGTTTCTGGTTGGCAACGGCGCGCGATGTTGCATGATTTAACTGAACATTTTCTAATAAATAACTCGTGTCGATGCATTTCGTTATCTTTACCTGTAGTACGGGATACGAGGCCTATTTCATCAAATCATTTTACACCGTCTTGCATTGTTATCATCAGTTAGATAACATGATGCTGAAACGCACCTGTACGGGGAAATAGATGGGAGTGGGGGATTTCGCTGAAAAAAAATTTCCAGAAAATGTCGTCATAAACAGGGAAAATATATAATTATACACCGTCTTGCATTTATTTATTGAGTTAATTTGTACACAAACAAAATTGGATCAACACATGCAAGACGTTTTCATGGAGGTTTTGGGGTTGTTATATTGGATAGAAATTGTCAATTTTTCAGAGGGGTGAAATATCATTTCACACCACTTCATTATTGATTTAGATTAAAGCTTGAATGTAGAATAGCCACTGGATACTGATGCAAGACGTCCTGTGGAGGGATAACGGACTGCAAGACGGAGGTCAATGTGTTGTCTTATGAAGGAGTGAGAAATCATTTTACACCGTCTTGCACTGATACTAATGGGAAAAACAGAACACATTGATAACATTTTAAAAAATACAAGACGTTCTAAATGGAAAGAAAGGACTGCAAGACGGTGATGAAGTTGACTAATTTTGACGGGGGTAAATCCATCAGGTACAAATGTGAATACTACTCCAAATTACAAATTACGCACAATAATTTTAGATATTTTTGCTTTTACCACGTAGAATAATTCTATTTTGCAAAATTCTCTTAATATGTATATTTGAATGACTCTACGGACATCAAAAAAAAAGGTTGAAAATTGTTCTTTTTCTGACAGCTTATAATCATTTTATTTATTTTTTTGAGGTGGATATGTCATAACACCTAACGGATTGTAAGTAGGTATTAGGTAAATTTGAGAAATTTGATTTTAAAGCAGCAAAAAAATGATCTGCCTGGAATTGTAAACAGAAATTATAATTCCTGTATTCAGCAGACTCCCCTGTTGAGCTGCTATGTCAACTGTCCTTTTCCATCTGTATGATTTAGAAAAGAATGAACAGTGAACGGTTCAGTAAATAACTCAAAAGTTCAGTAAAAAAAGAAAACGGATTTATTAACTTTTTTCCCCGAAAAAACGTCTTGGACTGATGTATTACCATTTTTTAACATATATTCTTCCGGTGGACATAAGCATGAAGTGGTGTAAAATAAATTTTCACTCCCTCATGAGACAACGCATTGACATCCGTCTTGCAGCCCGTTATCCCTCCACAGGACGTCTTGTATCAGTATCCAGTAGCTATTCTACATTCAAGCTTTAATCTAAATCAACAATGGAGTGGTGTAAAATGATTTTCCACCCCTCTCACAAATTGACAATTTCCATCTTCTATTGCAACCCTAAAACCCCCATAAAAACGTCTTGCATGTGGTAATTCAATTTTGTTTGTGTACAAACTGACTCAATAAAGAAATGCAAGACGGTGTATAATTATATATTTTCCTAATTTATGACGACATTTTCTGAAACATTTTTTTCAGCGAAATCCCCCACTCCCATCTATTTCCCTGCACAAGTGCGTTTCAGTACCATTTTATCTAACTGATGATAACAATGCAAGACGGTGTAAAATGATTTGATGAAATAGGCCTCGTATCCCGTACTACTGTCAGTGGTCTTGATAATTCATTATGACATTCTGGTAAATTATAAGAAATTAAATAGGCATTGACAACATTGTCATTCCTTGTTCTCTGACGTCATCCTAAATATAACGTAAAAAACCTATATACTCTGTTAATTTGATTTTTCTAAATAATTATCAAAGTAGAAGTTTCTAAAAAAAAATCAAAAATAAAAGAAAATATTTGTGGTCTCTAGAATCCTCATCTATCGACGTTTGACGTAAAAATCAAAAAACCCATTAAAACCTTACATTCTATAATAATACTAGCTGACCCGGCGAACTTCGTACCGCCTCTGAATTATTAAATATACCTATTAAATGTTGTGTTAATGTATCTATTAGCTGAATTAAATTCAGTTTTTTTCGATGGTGAATTTGGCTTTGGTTGAAGAAAATTAATGTTTACTCTCTGGATCAGAAGTCACCTAAAATTAAAATTTTTCATCATCGTTTTTTAGGCAGCTTGTGGGCATTATTCTTGTAAAGTTTACCACCAAATAAATAAACTCAGGCACAGGAATGTTCAAAGAATGTAAAGAAAACAAAAAAATCTCTAGCGCAGCCCTATTTCACTCTATCTGCACTGCATGCATTGCACTACTCCATCTGTTCTGGTCTATCTGCGCTACTCTATCTGACCTACTCTTTCTGCACCACTCTATCTGATCGGAATAGTTCTGTGCAGCATTGTTCTACTCTATCTGCAATGCCGAGCTTCGTTCCAGGTATCAGAGATGGCGCGGTATACAAAATACAAAATAAACTTGGTATCGGTTATAAGACATGGCGCCGTATGCGGGCTTAGTAAATTTTTTTCATAAATAAATAAAATAAGTATTGAAATGACCACATTAATGACATAACAACATGCTGGTACTGTCAACGCTAAAAAAAGTTTCAATTTGACAGCAAAATGATCCTCCATTTATTGAATATTTAATTTATTACAAAAAATGTGATAAATGAAGAACCGCTCGACTGATTTTGTGCAAACTTCACATAAACCATCTAATAAATAGTCTGAACAAAACCTAAACATTTGGTTTGGCTAGGTGAGTCCGTTCTTGAGTTATTAAAGTACAACGAAAAGTGGCATTCATTTTTATATATATAGATAAGTAATTGAATGACCACATTAATGACATAACAACATGCTGGTACTGTCAACGCTGAAAAAAGTTTCAATTTAACAGCAAAATCCCCATTAACAGAATGATCCTCTATTTATTTACAAAAAATGTGATAAATGAAGAACCGCTCGACCGATTTTGTGCAAACTTTACATAAACCATCTAATAAATAGTTTGAACAAAACCTAAACATTTGGTTTGGCTAGGTGAGTCCGTTCTTGAGTTATAAAATTACAACGAAAAGTGGCATTCATTTTTATATATATAGATGAGAGGCAACCAAATTTTAGAAAACTATCAAAAACCAACTTCAATCTCAAATTTCTGAAAAGAAAGCACTTCATGTTTCAAATTTTCTGTCCAAACTTAATTAGGTAGGTACTATCGATTTGGAATTTTTAGCAGAGAAAGGAAAAGTTTGAAGTTGAAAATTGAAGAAAAACAAAAACAATTCTAATAAACAATTTTACCCATTATTATACCATTCGTAATGCGTTTTCTCAGATTATCGATTACATCCAAGAAACCATACACAGAATAGGATACTTTACACTACTTGTAATGTAACTTTACACTGACATCTTGAGATAAGAAAAAAAAGGTTCTCTTCACTTTCTTAATGTGACTGTATCTTTATATATTCTTTATGTTTGATTGATTGGGGATGTTTTTTTAAAAATTAATCAGTCACTATATCTACACCATTTCAACCTCAATTTCGGAAAAAGTAACTTTAATTTAGGAAAATGTAAAGTCATTTTCGGAAAAAGTCAAATCAATTTCAGAAAAAGTAAAGTTAATTTCGGAGAAAGTAAATTCAAATTCGGAAAAAGTAAATTCAAATTTGAAAAAAGTAAATTCAAATTCGGAAAAACTGCATTCAATTATGGAGAAAGTAATGTTATTTTTTAGAATAATTCGAATTGATAAATTTAGCAGTGACTATAAACCTCCAGTCGAACCCGTACCCAGACGGGTTCGATTCCAATCAGTGTACCTACTTTAATTAGGTTCTACATATTGGTTCTATATTATTTTGTGGGTCTGATGATGCTCATAAATGAGCGAAACACATGTCACAATTAAGAGAATAAAATAATAAACAATCTGTAGACTTGGTAATTTTTTTCTTTCTTTTATTGTTTAACAATCGGGTCTCTTCGAGAAATATGTTCAAATTTTTTGATTTTCTAAATGATAAATGACTCAATCAATTCAAATTAGTCTATACAAAATAACATTACTTTCTTGGTAATTGAATGTTTTTTTTCCGAATTTGAATTCACTTTTTCCGAATTTGAATTTACTTTTTCCGAATTTGAATTTACTTTTTCTGAAATTAACTTCACTTTTTCTGAAATTGATTTGACTTTTTCCGAAATAAAAGTTACTTTTTCCGAAATTGAGGTTGAAATGGTGTAGTGTTTCTTTGAGGAAATGTGTGATCTGATTTTTATATATTTTTGAGATGTATACTAGGAAATTTTTGAGGCGAGCGATTTTCCTGATAAAAATAAAGGTAGCTTACTACGTAAGAATACGAGTACCTAAGTAGACAATCATTGAAACATTTTACAGCAACTTCTGATGTGCTACTTCTTTTTGCGAAATTTTCGGAAAACATTGAAATTGATGTGAAACCTAGATGATCAGAAGATTATGAATTTAATTTCACATAAATTTATTGGAAGTTGAATTTGCAGAGATGGTTTTGTCTCCATTTTAAATAGAATATATGTACCTCTTCCTATTTTTAACGCATTATAGTTTCTGAATATAATATTCAAAAAGATATTAGTTGAGCTTTGACAGAGCTGGGAAAGTGAGTGTTGATCGAATTATATTTTGCTCCAGTAGAAGTAATGTCT